GCCGACAGAATCAACATCTTCGAGGACTATACTTTCGTTTTCTGGGATGCCTCGCAATTCAGCAACCTGCAGGATCCAATCAGCAACGGGCACGGAAAAGCCCTGCTATACCCGCTGGAAAATGGGGTGACTACTGCTGAGGAGATTGTCCAGTTTATGAGGAATGCTGCTGGTCAGAAAGGCCTCGGTGGGGAGAGGGATAGCCCTGGAGGGGTAATCCTTGTCCGATTTCGTTCCAAGGGACAATGGGAGAACTGGTCAATTGAACTGAGCAACCAAGTCGCTATAATGACCGATCAGCGAGTTATTGAGCAGAACGAATTCCTTGACGCCATTCTCGCAAATGATGCGTCCTGTCTGTGTCAGCCTTTGCCCGAAACGGAGTCGAGCCCTGAAGTTGGGCGAACGCCAGCATCACAACTCCCAGCGACTCCCGATGAATACGTCGAGGTGATTGGTGATTTCCAAGCGGTCGAGGAGCCAAGTGAGCCAGCTAGAAAGAAGGCCAAGTCTTCGAAGATTCGGCCCATTAGCAGCAAAGTGAAATCCTTTGACGATGAATTTGACATATCCTCGATTCCCACCTACACACAAAACGAACGAGCTGATTTGGTCGATTTGCAACCAGTTCAGGACATACCGCCTTCATCCGAATTACCCTCGCAACAGCCCAGCATTCTCGACAATGAAGAAGATCTAGTTTCCAGTCTCTTGCCTGGTGCGACTGCAATGAAACGTCGGCGAGCTGAGACCGTACAGCGTAGCCTTGGAGAGTCACAAAGCCTTCCTAAAACAGAAGAACCTCGCAAACCCAAACGACAAAAATTGGACGTGCTCGAGGCGGCACGGCAGCATCGGGAAGCGGAAGAGGACGCCCAGCGCAAGCGCCGCCAAGAAGAAGAGGCATCTCTTCAAGACTCTCTCAGAGATACGAACGTCGAGAAGCTCAGAGATCTAGCCATTGTGGAAGAGATGGAACTCAAGCCCCGTCCTCGTGCCACAGAGGACAGTCGATGGGATGAGCGATGGAATGGACGCAAGAACTTCAAAAAATTTCGCCGGAAAGGCGAGCCCGGTCAACCTCGGCATCGCATTCAGACGGTTATTGTTCCCTTGGAGGAGGTGACACGGAAGGACTTTGGCATCGGCGATCATTACTGGGTCACCAGCCATGCAACGTCGAATCCTAAACCATCAGAGAGCCAGCGCGAGCGCTCTCTGAGCCGGGATGGGTCGTCTCGTGCCCAGTCCCAGTCCCAGTCTGTTTCTGTGTCTGCGTCTAGGGTCGAGTCTGCGACACCAGCTTCTCGAAGTCAGAAACGGCTTCGAGAAGAGGGTGACTCAGATAGTGATGATGAGCTTCGTTTTAGATTTCGTCGCAGGCGATAACGGTGTCGAAGTTCATTGTAATATATTTATAAAATCTTGTGAATAACAGACCAAGCGAAGGTCTATCTATTTTCTCTCTTCTTGCTCTAGTTGAGGGTAGTTATCAGCGGAGTCCATCCATCTTATCACTGAAGAGTCTAGACTAGGCTCAGCCAGAAATTGCGGGTCAGCCCACAACAGTGGCTCCCTTGACAAATTCATGGAATAATTAGTGGTGAATGGATCGGAGGATTCTCACTTCTCAATCTCATTTGGAATGAAAAGAGGCTAGAGCTAGATTGATCAAAGTATGGATTCTAAGTCACTAGTAGCCATCATAGTTGAGAAGGATCCCCATCTCGTTCGGCAGGCTGATTTGACTAGTGGGACGATGGATCCTGGCCGTTTGGGCGGTGGAACAATAACAGAAGAATAGAATTGAATCATCAAAATAATGATACAAATGAGTGGATCTTCATCGTTTCAGCTCACTATGTATGAATGATATGAGGAGATATTAGCCAGGACGATCTCCGGCAGGAAGTTATCTAGCATAGTTGAAGTGATGGCTCTCTCAGTACTCCGTATCTGGTGATGCTTCTAGAAGTAAAAATAGCATAGTACTCCACCTCGTTTTGATTGGGACATGGCAGTACTTAACTATTGAATATCAGAATGAAATTGACTATGTATCAATATTAAGCTAATTACATTGTCAATTACAGGAAAATTAGCTTCCTTTACAGCAGATGATCAGAATAATGAGGGAACTATCCTGTTACCTCCTTGGTTGTCCGCCTTGAATGACAGCCTTGGACAAATTCTGCCGGTCACACCCCCATCTGTATCTATCTACTAGTAGTATCTACGTACCCCTACTGATTTCCTCCGTGGTGATCTCCCTCCCATCCCGGGATTGAATTGAATCAAATCAACTCACGCACTGTCAACTATTAATTCTCATTATTGCCCTTTTCTGTCTCAAAATTTTCTTCCACCTTTTTCTTCCAACGCCTGGTTGCGTCCCTTGATTCCCTTTGCCGTCCGTCTCTTCTTATCTTCTACGATTCTGCCTCCCTTCTCTTTCTCACCTCTTCCTTGACTGCATCCTCGAATAAACGTCTCTCTGTCTGAAGCTGCCCAACGACCTGACTGCTTGAGCACTGGTTCCCCTCTTTCTTGTTCTGCATGACTGGTGCAAAGGACATATACTCTCGCAGCATTATTGCTGCCATGAAATACATTGGCTGCTCTTGATGCCTACCTGAATTTATCACTTGCTGGTATTCCCTCCCTCTGGTCCATTTCTATCCGGTTGTTGCTTCCTTCGAATCCTTCTATCTTCTCCGCACAACCTCATGTTCGACACGGCACATTGTCGACGTTCGCTGACAGATACTGATCCGCGAGACTGTAGACCTTCACCATCCTCACGATTTACGACTCTCGCTTTACTCCTCTGGCGTTGGGTGACTTCTTTCCGCTTCCTCGTCCTGCTCCAAATGTCCTCTGAGTTGTTTTCATCCCCGTCATCGCCCCACATGATCTCGACCATCCCTCCTCCTCGTCCTATCTCTGTCAACTCGCTGGAGAGAATTCCAGTGATTCCTACCCTTCCATACTCCAAAGAAGCAAGTCGAAGTGCCAGCGCGGGATTTGAGATTCACGATGACCCGATTCCTTCCGCTACTGAACCTGGTCAGCCGGACTGCCAGACTACAAATCCTGCGGCGGAGGAGTTGCAGGTAAAGTCGATTGGATCCCAACCGTATAGATCTGGAGTGCGCTTTCATGATCTTCCGGCCGAAGTTCACGAGGCCATTCTCGACCATCTATTCGGGGAACGTGTTTCGGCGCTTACGATGGGTGCTCCTGGGAAGTCTGCACGTAATTGGAGCAGATGTCTACGCCATCCCAGGAGAAAGGTGCTCTCCGATCTTGCCCTTATATCGCCTGTCTGGAGGGTTCTCGTGCAAGATCGAATCTACAGACATAGTCAGTTGTGCCTCGCCCACTGCTCTCTTTGCTACTAACCGGGCATGACAGTCAAGATCAAGGGCACCACTGATGAATTGACGGAGAGCGCAAGTTGGTTTAGTGCACATCCCCATCTGGCCAAGTATGTCCGTCAGGTCGAGATCTGGGTGCCGGTCTGGGGCAACCGGGCAGCCAGGAGTGTCACGGTCTATCAGCCGCGCCGGCGGTTCCATGACGAGCACATAGCAGTGATGGATGTGACGGCTCTTCTGCATGCCACAATGGCGTGGGAAAATCCTGATACCTTTCATCCGCGTGGCCACACCTTCTACCTATCCAGTCACAATGCCACTCTGGAGGACATTTTCCACCATGTAAAGGCGTGCTTTCCCGAGGCACGGATTCTCACCCTTGAAGGGGGTCACTGCAAGAAACCGCCTATGATTCGGCATTTTAGGAACGATCCATACGGGCTGGCTGGAAAGGAGCGCCTTCCGGTGTTGCCGAACATACAGATTTTTGTTATGCGTGGAGCGTGGAATATCATGCGAGACTACCAGCACTGGCGCAACCTGTCTCAGGCGTTGCCGGGTTTGCAAGAGTGGCACTGTGCGTACGCGAAACCGAAGATCGAGGGCTATGATACCATTGCCAAGATTCTGCTCAATCCGCCGTCCTCCCTACTTCACCTCAACATCAGCCTGGAAGGCTTTTCCAACAAGGAAAGCACGCACTCTTCCTGGTTCAGCGATGGGGCGCAACCACCACACCTGTGTCGCTTGTTGGGAGAATTGGCCCCTAGACTCATGTCGTTGACCTTTACGGGCAAGGTCTGCGCATGTTTTTTCCACGCAACCAGCAACACTTCGCCGCCATGGCCCAAAGCGTCAAACCTCAGATACCTAGATCTGGCAGTCAAGACGTGCTGCCGCGAAAAGAAGGCGGGATCGGTCTTTCCGTTCTTCGAGGACTTTTCCGGCATCGGGAATATGAACTTCATCCGCTCCTTCGAGAAGCTGGTCGTGGGAGCGGTCCAGAGCCTCGGAGTCCATCCGTCTTTGAATCAGATTCGCATCCGTTTCATCGACCTCGACTCGGCCTGTCCCCTGCTCAATCCGTACTTTCAGCTTTCCAGAAATCTATGCACCGGCCTGTGGAGCGACCGGATCCTGTATGCGCTGAACGAGTTTCGACCCCAGGCGCGATTCGTCGAGCTCAGAGATGGCATCTACCCGCAGTACGGGCCTAACTCGCAGATCGTCGGGGCTGTCCTACCTCGCGCGCGGCCCCTGAGTATACATGCCTGCGCGTACAAGATTATCGCTGATGCTGGGAAGCCTTGACCATGGGACACTTGGCTCGACGATTTATGCCACAACAAAAGGCCATGAGGCCAGACTCCCAGAGGAGTTGAAGACACGCTGTGATTCGATTCGACTTTACCTGATGCCTGTTAGCCATGTGATTTAAAAAATTTTGTTCAGAGTACAATACCCTTGCGTTCATCTGATGGATCGCTGAATGAGCTTAATGAATCAATGAAAATGAGAATGAAAAGCCCAGTGCCTGACCGTGTAATGCCCATGTCATTATGTACCTTCATTTCTACCACCCACTTAATATACATGCCTCACCCAGTCATTGAACAAAATCATTCAAGCCGAGCCAGTGCCTACACCCGCCACATCCTCAACAATAACGCCCAGAATCCAAACATTGACCACGAAGAAAAACAAACTCGCCAGGAACAACCCCGGGACGAAGCTCGACAGGCCCAGGAACTCGAGCTTATAGCCCTGTTGAAGCCAGAGTGCCTATGGATTTACCGTCAGCATCAGCATCAGAATCAGCGGAGAGAGTGGAGAGTGGCGCACCTGAGCAACAACCCACAACAGCCCAACCAGTATCCCCTTCCTCGGATACTTCATCAACGATGAAGACGGGAGATAGAACGGGAGGAAGATAAGGTACCAGAGGAAATACTACAGCGCCATCAGCATCTTCGTTCTCCATTTAAATAGGACAGGGAAGGAGGTAGACATACCTGACTCGTGCAAACTTTGTTAAACGTCACAAACGCAAACGTCTGCGCGAGCATCGTCCCCGCCAGACTCCTCTTCCCCAGGACCAGCGGGATGACTACCACGGCCAGGAGGAGCTGGGGGATGAAGGCGAGGGACTCAAAGGCCGTCTGGGTGCCGCCTGCGGCGGAGAGGTAGAGGAGGGTGCTGTAGGGGGAGAAATTGTGGCGGTGGTCGATGCGGGTGAGGTGGTGGAGGTAGGTGTGTTGGGCGAAGGGGAGGCCGTAGAGGATGTACATTGAGATGTTGAGGGCAGAGAAAGTGGCCAGCGCGACGAGGGTGAGGTGGATGCGGGCAGGGGTGAGGAAATGGAGGGTCTTGGATAGGAGGTTCTCGTCCTTCCCTTTCTCTTGCGCAGCTGTAGCTGAATCCGCAGCCGGCGGTCTAGAGGTAGGAGGAGGCGAGCCGTCCCTGCGCGCATCCAACCACCAAAGAACCGACGGCCCATAAATAAACGGATAGATCTTGAAATGCACGCCCAACCCCAGAATCACACCCGCAAGGGTCACCCGCCGACTCAGCACCGCCCACAACAACCCCACAACAATAACCCCGAGCAACCCCTCCGAGCTGCCCCGGGTGCTAATATTCGCAACCATGGGGTTCAGCAGCCAGACACTCGCATACTTCAGCGCACGCGTCGGACTCATCCCATACGCCGACACCAGCGATCTGGCGATCAGCCACCCCGCGACGACATCCGCGAGCGCAAACAGCGCCTTCCCGAACGAGAAGAAGCCCGGGACGTCCCATGTCGTCGGGAGGAGAAGCCAGGCGAGCAGCGGCGTGTAGCGGTACGTGTCGCGCGCGTAGGGAGATGCCCCGCGCGAGACGTACCGCGCTGCGTCGGTGAAGACGAGGTAGTCGATGTCGGTGTATTTGATGGGTGAGTGGGCGTCTTGCCAGGCGCCATAGACTAGGAGGATTGCACGCATGGCAATCGACGCGCCGATGACTTTTGTGGGGGAGCTGAAGAAGGATGCCATAGTGGATTTGAGCACCTGCCCCAGACTTGGATGATAGGTCGGTTGGTTGTCTGGATGGACTTGCGAAGGTGGGCGCAAGCAGCTATGCGAGGCCAAGGATGTTGAAAATCTTTGGCAATTTAATCATGGACGATTTGTTGCGTCCACTATGCTAGAAGCGACCTTTATAATCGATCCATGGTTAATCAGTCTAATTCTGGTCGGGTCTTTGTACATGATGAGGAAGTGGATTGATGGGATGTTTTGCAATCTACGGCTGACTCAGCAAGATGCTAAGCAGCGGCCAATCATATCACAGATCATAAACTGTTCTGGACCAGACAATAGCAGCCCTGAGGGACCTAAGGAATACCCAACAAGCGATATGCATCAAGAATTGGTAGTAGAGAGGTGTTGGTATATGGTTCGTATCTCAGATCATCAATCAGAATATGCGCCTTGACCAAGTTCGTGTACGTCGTAATCCCCACATATCGCCAGAATATTCACGCACGTCAACAAGCCGATGTATGCATATGAACAAAAGTGCAGATCGATTGTACAAAGATTGGATATCAAGAAAAGAGTACATTGAAGAAAGGATGAAAGGCAATCAAGAATCCTCCAGAATGATAAGACTCGTCCTTATGGTTGAGCAAGCGAGTAAAAGGGCACAGATGGGTTCATATAATAGGTTGAATCAGTCATAGGACTGCCAAAGAAGCCAGGTGCATTGCTGCCGTACTTCACGTGCTTCTCATTCTGGACAAATGACATATCGTTCGTGTTTTCCGTCTCTGAGAATCCCGGCCAGATGGTGGAATCGCTCCAGCTGAGGAAATCCCAAAGTTGCTGGCCGGCCGTCTCGTCCATGAATGGCGGTGCCATCGGATCTATCATTCCACCGTCATTCGCAATGGCGACTCCTCGGCCTGGTTCGGTGTGTGCTGAGACTGTTCCAGGTATCATTCCGGATATCATGCCTTGGCGCCCGTTGGCGCAGTGTCCACTGGCTAGACCGCTCGCTGCGCCTCCCATGTCAGATCCTCTTTTGCTGGCTTCGAGTATTCTTGAGACGGCTTCCAGCGTCCGCTTGGCCGTGGGACTCCAGGGCTGCAAGCGTGCCAATACCATCATCGCCGTCTCGACCTGTGACTGACACGACTGGACAGACGCTCTGGGCTCAGTCGCTGTGGCGTCATTGAGAAACAGACCCATAAGAGGAACCATTGTTGCCTGGTAGATGAGCCAGGCCGCATTCCAGCCTGACATTTGATGTGACTGTGCCGTGGAGGAGATATCTTGAATTGTGACTTCGGCGATCTCTCTGCATCTCTCAATGGCGGTCCTTTCTTCCGACCTCAGCGCTATGTAGGGAACTCGCCGCATAGCATAGCTCAACAGGGTCGGCCGGTACAGGAGCATGCGCTGGTTATAGTAGCGCCATCGCATCACAGTTCGCGTATTCATAATCGATTCGGAGCATGGTTCATGGTCTTTCAGGATGGAAGGCAGATTTTCGTACCAATCCAACAGCTGACTGTCCAGGTGGGACATTTCGGCATGTTTCGTCAACGGTGCGACAGCCAGGACCTCTTGTATCTGTGTGGCAATCTTGCAGAACCGGATGTTTTCAAGGAGCGGAAGGATATCGAGAACGTTTCCCTGTTGTTGGTTAGAAACGACGGGATGTTTCAGAGGCAGTAGACGTACGGTTTCTCTGTGATTGGGCAGCTTGACTGTAATGGTCGGTCCAAGACGACCCATGCTGGGTCGACCCAGAGTCATTCCGCCCCACGTATCCATACAGAACAACGACCACCATGTTCGGCGTTTCAGATCCATGGCTGAGATCTTCTGTTTGTTCGACGCATCCTGACTGTAGGAAAACTCCTTGTGCAAACCCAAGGCGGCCGCCATGCGGAGCGCGGCTCCCATGAGTGAGTAAGCCAGATTTGGCTCACTCGTGTAGTGCAAATAATAACCGCCGATCAGTCCCAGGGTCTGGATAGTTTCCAGATGAGAGGATCCTAACGAATCCAGGCTTAAATAGCTTTTAGAGCGCTGGTAATAAATCTTGTGAGACATGTCGTCGGACGGACACGCTGCTATGCTTCCCAAGGCAAAGACAATGTTTAGCAGTCCGAGCCAGCGGTCGTCTCTGCGGTGCCCGGAGAGGTATGTCTCGCGAAAAGCCTGTTCGTCCAGCATAGGCACGAACGGCTGGAACCAGGTGAAGTATGCGTCGAGCAGTTGCATATCAGTCGCTTGCATATGAGCCTGGGGGGGTGTGACCGAATGCTGCTCGGACAGTTGGATGTGCCAGTTCTGATGCTCAGATGTTGTTGAGTAATCTTGCGTTGAATCTCGGTGAGCAGCGACCGCTGGTGTCCGAGAAAAATAGGAAAGAGAGCCTGGATCAAGCCAGACGATAACTTTCAAGACGGCGTGTATGGATGATACGCCTAGGTATGAGGAAGGCTGTTTAGCTGAGAGGGATAGAGCATTTACATCGTCCGAAATTCCATTCGTTATGTCGCTGCTGCTCTGGTTTCGGCTGTCGCTTGATTCTTCTGGCATCGTCTGCAATGACTCCAAGTTGCCATCTTCGTTGGATATGGGGGAAACGTGCGCGTCAACAGACGCGGAGGTGGCAGGAGAAGCCGGATGTTGTGCCTGCGTCTGCGACGGGCCCTTACTCGAGAGCTCCAGAAGCTTCTCGCGGGATAGACTGAAAAGGGCCTCGGGGGAGGTGCTGGGAAATAACTTCTCCAGGACGCTCCGATACTCGTCTAGAGTGGTCGACAGTTTTTCCACATGCCTATAGCGTTCAGCTCACTTGTTCCGACTACTCCGTGGAAAAGATGGAAGCTCAGAACAGAGCTCACACGCAAATAAGGAAAGAGGAGAACACACCTCCGGGAAGGACGGGGATCTGAATAATGGCACAGATCGGCCTTCTTGTACCATCTACACGCCTCACATGGTTTCTCACCATCGCATTTGATCTTGCGATGCCGGCATGAGGTGCAGGCCCGGAGGGTGGTGACTCTCCGCCCTACGGACTGCTGGCGCTCCCGACCCTTGGCCTGGGTTGAGGCCCCGGGGTTCTCAAAACCCTCAAAGGTGTGAAACATGGCAAGGGACGAGCTCTGGTGATATCAAGTCAGACCTTTAGCAAGCAAAAGGCACCACGCAGCTGAGACATGCTAGGGTCTAATCAGCCAGAGAAGGCCATTTGTGCAGACGGGACAATGTTTTTTTGGTGCGGGTATGGTGTAGATGCAACCAGGATGCAGGCCGTCGTCGAAAAGATGGAGAAAGCTGGGGGATGAAAAAGTAGAAAGAAGAGAAGAAAGTACTAAAGATAAAATTAAAAAGGGGATCACGGCACAATGGTCCTGCAGGCGATAAACGGAGCCACAAAACAGGACGTCGTATGATTGTGTGGGTGGTAAAAGTAATTATAAGAGTATATGGGAGGAAGATGGAAGAAAAAGTTCAGGTGCAGAATCAGAATCAACTGGAGGGAGACTAGAGTGACTGTGAGAGGACTTAGAAGGGCAAAGCACAGAGAGAGAGAGAGAGAGAGAGAGAAGATGGTTCGCGAAACTTTGCATGGAAATGCTGCAATTCCACTTTGACAATGTCTCTCTTTTTCCAAGCGATATCATTACTATTGTCGTTATTTTATTATGATCATTTTAGCACTCTACTCCAGCTGTTAAACAACAACATCTACTACTACCCTAGTAATAGAAGCGAAAAAGTCCCTGAAAGATCGTCACCGTCAACTGTCCGGGTCTGCTGCTTTTTCCCCCGCATTCTGGGGTTTATTTTCTCTCATGGTGACTACTAGTCTGCATGGCAGCATGAGTCCCTCCATTCTCCAGATTCTCACCTCGCTTATCCTTTCTTCCATTTGCCTCGTTCTCCGGGGCCAAAAGGGGAGGGGAAAGACTAATATTGATCTCCCTCTTGCGTCTCCGAAGAAGGCGAACAGTTAGATCCGGCCACTGCATTAGTGGCTTTCGGTCCTGCCGGCACCTGAACGGGCGCCTGTCGACTCATGATTCATCACTGATTGGCAGATCCAATTGCCATTCCAATCACTCACCATCTCTCTCCATTCATTCTGTCTATTCCCTGTTGGACGCGTAAGGTATGATGAGTTCATGACCGCCGAGTAAGGGAACTTTAATAGATTCTAGACGGAGCGAATTGTTGGGTTCCGGATTTTGGTTAAGCAAAGAAAGTCTTCCTCACCGGTCTTCCCTTCTGTTGGTCTGTTCTGGCCCTTTTGCAGTCTATCTCTTATACTCCATTCTTGCTGACTCGATCCAAGAAACAGGAGAAATGCAACATGAAGTACCGAATACAAGAACAAGGAATTCCCGAGTACTATAGATACATGGCAGACCATCTCTGATAGCGCCGGGGCCTCTTCTACATGGGTGCTATGCAGCATGAGAATATCACAACGGTAGTGAGCATAGCGCCGAGTTGAAACCCTCGTCACTCTGAAACCCGACCACGAGTCCGGGGAGATGAGTCGGGACCTTCGCGACCTGCTATTTGACGAACAATACTTCCGTGGGTGTAAGGTTGATTTCCCCGCAAAACGGAGGACCAAGAAGTCCTCATACTTCTTGCAGACAGGCAGCAATGATCAAATCATCTGATTCTCTTTTCGATTCCAGACACCGAGTGGCAAAGGAGTCGTGGTTGGTAAAGAAACCGCACAAGCAGGTATGAGCGGGGAGCGACGGTCACTCATCAAGAAGATCGAGAAATGATCCCTGCACTCATTTTAGTGCAATTCAATATCAATATCAGAGGGTTGCCCCTAAGAACAAGGGCCCTAAGTCCAGGAAGCATAGGTTGGCGTCTATCATCTTATGGCTTATCCTTCACCGGTAGCCTTTTGCCGACAGCCAACCACGAGGCGATCCTTCTGTCCGTGTGCCCAATAACACTAGTGCCTTCTGAGCTGCAATGGTGCCTCATTTCAATAGGAAAAGGGCTCAGTACTGTCCTAGAGTTTTGATCACCTTGACGAGCTCCGGAAAGTCTAATGAGAGGTGAACTCAGGTACTGATCTGGCGTATCATATCAGATTGATGAGCTCCCCTATCACAGACCCCGCGCAAGTCATCCAGGTCCGGTGTCCTTGAATCAAAATTGGAGACTTAATGGCAAGCCAAGACAATTCTGTCAATTGACAGTACCCGGTAAGGAATGCAAGTGTCTCTAACTGCGGACTGTGTACTAAGAGGTGTGGATACCAAAATCCAGAACCAGAAGGCTGCAGGATTAGGTGACCCTTCGGATTCTTGGAAGTTCCGGTGGTTAGTTGGCTTACCCTCGTTCCGATGTGCCAAATCTTCCTTTGAGAAGTACGTAGATACAGAGTACTAAAGGCAGTGCTACCTGATTCTCACCGTGAAAACTGAAAGTCTAAAGATCCAAATATGTTGTTTCGAATCGACCAGATCTTGGGAGGACATGATTAGAGAAGGTCAGTGATACTGGAATTTGCACGATTGCCTGGCCTTTCAGAACAGGAAGTCTCCAAGCCATCCGAAACGTTAGCGTTTCATTTCTTGTCGATCTCAGTAGCAAAATTCGTCTTAGGAAGGCTATGTAGTCTAGAGACTGCGGTGATTACGAAGAACGGTTAACGTTGAACTCTGAGTCTGGTGAGACGAACCGATGGAAGTATATGCCAAGAACTTGAGACATTTCAGTGCTCCTCCCTCCACATCTAATCACATGCTTCCCTTGTAACATTGGGTACATCAGCTGTCTCGGCTTGACGATCAAGAATGTCGAGATGAAGGACTGACTGCTGGCATCCTGATTCTTCTCATGTCTGTGGAGACGGAGAACAATTCCATCAATTGTTGATCCAAATGCAAATGAAGAGGGGTTGCTCGGCTGCTGATAGCCTGTTACTACTGGTATTTCAGACCGTCAGACCATCTCTAGCGGCGTGCCAATGTTCGATTCTCAAGCCACAATGAATGAAATTCTGCGACAAGGGGGGTCTGCTAGCGCTAGCGGCAAATGGATCCGTTCATTAAATGAGGGGCGAACATTGTCAGTAGCAATCTCAGTCACATAAATCACATTCTCGATCTGGAGGAAACTTCTAAGAACAGGTATACCGAATATCTTATGTTTTGTGGCAGGCGCTTGAAGAGTGTCTTTCGCTCGTTGCCTGACCCGAGTTCAACGTGCGGTCACTAATTGATGGGAAAGAATGCCATGGTCAGAAGGAACCATGATTGCCTCAGTGCCCAAAAAACCGGGCCGTCAGGCCCGAAATGAGCGAGGTCCCGGCATAATATCGCACTCCCGAAGCGAAGTTGAGGCACACGGTTGAGGCTGGTGGCAGAATGTAGACTTTAGGGCAAGAGAGTACCAGATTGGAAGGGTTGAGGAGCCCAATCATCGATTCGAATGAAGTATAAAGTCATGTGTCTTCTCAAACACTGCTCGGACAACGAGACCGTTCAGCAATTTCAAAGTGTCCATCTTCATGCCAACAAGCATGAAATGGTATCGATGCTGGTGGAGGCCACAGTGTGCCATGCAAATAGAGCTAGACGGGGGCGTCTCCGTTCCTAAAAGGGAACAAAGTGCGGGGAGGGGTTCTAAACGAGGCTGACCCGTAAGAAGTCCCTTTAGTGTCCAGAAATTGTTGTCCGCTACACAAGACAGTCTAAGTTGAATAATGGAAAGTTATGTCGTACATCCCATTCGCCTGCTTTTTGTTTTCATGAACTTAGTCTCAAGGTGGACCATGGATCATTGCCGCTTCCTGAACACTGGGAGCAGGACGTTGACTTGTGCTTAAGAACAAGAGAAAAGGGTTAAGAGCCAAGCCTGAGGCATGGAGGAGCCCACCTTGGACTAACCCAGTTTGGAATGGAGAAGCCTCCGAGAGGGCAATTACCCAATTTGGCCAGCCTTCCACGTGAGGGGCGGAGAGATCTCCGTGTATCTCCTCATGCTCCGGGCTTATTGAGACGTTGAGATGTTACTGTAGATATGGGAGCACTGGCTCTAAATTCGCGGCATTTCCTGCTGACGGAGGAATGAGGAATCAGAAGATTTCATTCATTCCTTCTCAGTTGAGGCCGGATTCTCCTGAACAACATCAAGCATTTGTTCCGGTCCGTGGGAGCTCTAGTTATCCGTCAGAACACCATCGAAATGTCGAAATTACAACAATTCCCCTTATCTAAGGGCTGGAGCTTTAGAGACAGTGAAGACACGTCGGAAGATGCGTGGATGCCAGTTCCTGTTGTCCCTTCCGTCGTCCATCAGGATCTTCAAGCAAATAACAAGTATGCCAACCTTTCAGTCTGCAATGATCGATCGAGCTAACCATTGTTTTTCCTGAGCTGTACAGGCTGAAGGATCCCTACATTGGATTCAACGAGCTCGAGGCGAGATGGGTCAACGAGAAGTCATGGACCTACAAAACTGTTTTCCAGAAACCGGCTGCTCCTGCTGGGTCTTCCGTTGTTCTGGCATTCGACGGCCTGGACACATTCGCTAAGGTCAAACTTGACGGCAACGTCATCCTCGAGAGCGACAACATGTTCCTTGCCCATCGCGTCGATGTCACCAAGGCTCTGGAAGCCGAGGGTGACCACGTTCTAGAAATCGACTTCGACTGTGCTTTTCTGCGTGCAAAAGAGCTTCGCAAGCAGGATTCCAAGCACAATTGGGCTTCCTTCAATGGTGACCCTTCCAGGCTGAGTGTGAGAAAAGCTCAATACCATTGGGGCTGGGACTGGGGCCCGGTTCTCATGACCGCTGGTATCTGGAGAGAAGTGCGACTTGAGGTCTATTCCGCAAGAGTCGCAGATCTTTGGACCGAAGTGAAACTGGCTTCGGACCATCAGAGTGCTCGGGTTACTGCTTTTGCCGAAGTAGAGTCTGTGAACTCTGATTCACACAAGGCTTGTTTCACTCTCAGCTTGCATGGCCAAGAAATTGCCAAGGAGGAGGTCAGCGTGACTGGGAATGGCACCGCCAAGGTCACCTTCGATGTCAAGGAGCCCTCTCTCTGGTGGCCCCATGGCTACGGCGACGCTACACTTTACGAAGTATCAGTGTCCCTGCGCAAGGAACAGGAGGAACTTCACCAAGCTTCCAAGAAGTTCGGTATCAGAACCGCTGAGGTCATTCAGCAGCCTGACAAGCACGGAAAGTCCTTCTTCTTCCGTGTCAATGGCGTCGATATCTTCTGTGGCGGTTCTTGCTGGATCCCAGCCGATAATCTCCTTCCCAGCATCACTGCTGAGCGATACCGCAAATGGATTGAGCTCATGGTTCATGGCCGTCAAGTGATGATCAGGTAAGCCGTGATCCTCAGCCCTCGTCATCCTCATTGATGCATAGCTAAGAGATACCAGAGTATGGGGTGGCGGGTTCTATGAGGACAATAGCTTCTACGACGCGTGCGACGAACTCGGCGTGATGGTTTGGCAAGACTTTATGTTTGGCTGCGGAAACTACCCAGCCTGGCCCAACCTTCTCGAGTCCATCCGAAAGGAATCTGTCTACAATGTGCGTAGGCTGCGTCACCACCCATCCATCGTCGTTTGGGTAGGCAACAATGAAGACTACCAGGTCCAGGAGCAGGCAGGTCTCACTTACAACTTTGAGGACAAGGACCCCGAGAGCTGGCTAAAGACCGATTTCCCTGCCCGTTACATCTATGAGAAACTCCTTCCAGAGGTGGTTCAGGAATTCTCACCCAGTACTTTCTATCACCCTGGTAGTCCTTGGGGCGATGGCAAGACCACGTCCGACCCCACCGTTGGTGACATGCATCAATGGAACGGTACGTTCACTGCGTCCTACTTGCACTGACCCTTGGCTAAATGCTGGCAAACAGTCTGGCACGGCACGCAGGAGAAATACCAGATCTTCGATACTCTCGGCGGACGATTCAACAGCGAGTTCGGAATGGAAGCATTCCCGCACATGGCAACTATCGACTACTTTGTTGAGAACGAGGCGGACAAGTATCCTCAATCGCATGTCCTTGACTTCCATAACAAAGCCGACGGCCATGAGCGCAGAATAGCTACATACCTTGTTGAAAACTTGAGGACGTCGACAGACCTAGAGGTATGCGAAGCTGCTACTCTCATAATATACTCTTGATCAAGACTGACCTTCAAATGCAGACACACATTTACCTTACACAAGTCGTTCAAGCAGAGACGATGATGTTCGGATACCGGGGATGGCGTCGCCAATGGGGTGATGAAAGACACTGTGGTGGCGCTCTCCTCTGGCAGCTGAACGACTGTTGGCCTACAATCTCCTGGGCTATTGTGGACTACTTCTTGCGGCCCAAGCCTGCATTCTACGCTGTGGCGCGGGTGCTGAACCATATCGCGGTTGGTGTTCGTAGAGAACATCATGACTGGAGCGTGACCCATGCACAGCCTCCCAAGACAAGCAAGTTCGAACTCTGGGTTGCCAGCAGCCTGCAGAAAGAGGTCCAGGGCACAGTGGAGCTTAGGTTCCTTTCCGTCAACACTGGCCTTGAAGTTCGTGAGCGCATTGTGCACGAGAACGTCAGCATCGTGCCCAATGGCACAACCAACCTTATTGTGGACGGTCTAATCGACCACAAAGTCCACTCCGAACCTCATGTCCTTGCTGCTCGGATCTGGGTCGACGGCCAGCTTGTGGCACGGGATGTGGACTGGCCTCAGCCATTCAAGTACCTTGACCTCTCGGATCGAGGTCTTGAGGTCAAGAATGTCTCTGACTCGGAGGATGAGCAGACACTGCTCATCAGCACGCAAAAGCCAGTTAAGTGCCTGGTCTTCGAGGAGCGCGAGGGTGTCAGAATCAGTGACAGTGCGATGGATATTGTGCCTGGCGACGACCAGAGAGTGACCGTCAAGGGCTTGAAGTCGGGTGACGCTCCTCTAAAGTACAAGTTCCTTGGACAGTAGAAGTCGACTTGGTATCCTGGCTACAAGCACTCGCCCGACACACACATTGCGAGGCATTGCATGACCCTTCCATAAAGAGTCCTCTTGCGATGATTACTGTGCATATACCTCGTAAACCAATCTAGCCATGAAGATAGAATAGAATATCTCTTAAACCAAATACTCTCCGCTCTTGACTTCGAACGATTAGACAGGGAAAGCAAAAGTTCTGGTGTCCTAACGCAGATCTTATCAGATAACAATCATCCCAATATGGTTAAGCCTAGCAAAGGAATGACGCGCATCACTGTCAGCCAGCGACAATTTGTACCATCACCCTAATTCCCCCAACACACCAAGTCCCAACGATACCACTCCATGGCAGGTAACAAGCGATCGTGGGAAGGCGATCTGGTGGGCACCGAGAAGACACAGGCAAAAATGGCCGCAGCACCAATTGATGAGCCTTCTTCACATGTTCTCTCCATGTTCGGGACCTTCCGCGACGAACTGGATGAGCACCACGACCGCCGAGAACGAGTCATTAAGACGAGCAGAGACATTACAGCCTTGAGTAAGAAGATGTTCGTTCCCTGTCCGGCCCTTCCCGTCTGCATGCACTCAAGCTCAATATGCATACGCTAACGTCTCCAACTACCAGAATCTTTTCGTTACAACGGTTCGTCAACCGATCAATCCTTCTCCCTCCCATCACGTCAAAATCATTGGACACACTCCATTAACGCTCTCTCAGCATTCGCACAATAAAAGCCCCCCTCCCCGCCTCAATCGCCAAAGAGACCAAAACCCGCTTCGACCAAATCACCGCCCTCTTCCAGAACGTCATCCCCGACGTCACGGGCCTCAACAGCTGGCGCTACCAGCGCCAACTCAGCGGCGCCATCCAGGAATTCATCGAAGCCCTCTCCTTCAACCACTACCTGCAGACCCAAACCCTCATCTCCCACGCCGAAGTCGTCGCCCGCCTTCCCGCCGAGATCCTCGTCACGGAAGAAGATTACCTGATGGGGCTGTTCGATCTGACGGGCGAAATGATGCGGTTTGCGATTACTTCGCTGTCGACGGGCGGGCAGGCGACGCTGGGCCCCGCACTGGCGGATAGTGGCGGTGATGATCTGGCGGCGGGCAATGTCTCCGGCGCTGGTGTGGATCTGCCGAAGCTGCCGGCCACGCAGGCTGGTATTGTGGTTGATTTGAGGGAGATGCGGTCGTCGTTTGAGTTGCTGAGTGTGCCGCGGCGGCATGGGAATAATATGTTTCGGGATATGGTGAAGAAAGTCGATGTGATGCAGACTAGCGTGGAGAAGGTGGAGCGCGCTGCGTATGGGATTTTGGTGCGTGGGAGTGAGCGGCCGTCCGGGTGGACGCCGGATCTGTCGGGGCAGGTTGATATGGAGGTTTATTGATTACGGTCTATTTGAAGTGCAAGGTATCGGCGGTGCAACGTACGAATATCAAGTTAACGATTCCAGGTAATACCAATAGTCATAACATAGTCAATCTCATAAAAGCGTGTACATCATCAAGTAAAAATAGGCATGTACGGAAGGTTGAAGCCCTCATCCCAATCAACGTATACACGCCTCGAAGACGCCCAATTGCCCATTTCCAATTCCATATCGATATCCATGAGCCCTAATCAGCGCGTTCAACAGTTCCATCTACACAGACGGGGACCTCGGATCCTCTTCCTCCGTCAAGATACCCTGCGAGATAAGCTCCTCAGGCTGCGGTCTCCGCTGCAGCTTCTGGTCAAGGTTATCCGCGAGCATATGCTTTTCGAGTTCCTTTGCGTTGGCCTGCAGCGCAGGCGCGGCGTTGATATGTGGGAGGATGTTGCCTATCATGAACCAATCAGCTTTTCTCACTCGAGGTTTCAATCAAGCACGTCATTGGACTTGCATCTCCGCTGGAACGGGTTCAAGAAAAGGAAATACACACGTTCAACGAGCTCATCCCGGCCGGGACGATGCTCGAGATGTTTCTTCAGGCTGTCTGTTGTACGCTGGCGCGCGAGTTCTGCTCTGGCTGCCTGGAGAGATCTACACGCAATACCGGTAATGACACTTAGTATTCGGGCATGGCCAGTGTAGAGTTCGGGGCGTGGTAGTCGATAATCACTTACGGCGCCACGGTAGTATCGAGCAGGATATGTCTTTCTTTGAGATCCTGGGCGTCGGGTCGAGTCTGGAGGTGTTTCTCAAGAGAATTGCGACGTTCCATAAACGAGGCAGAGAGTGGACTCTCGTCGATCTCGGTGTTGGGGATGATAATGTCCATGATAGTAATAGCGATAGCGGGGTGATGATACGAGAGGACTGAAATATATACTTGCGGAGACTCGACTGTGACTACTTCCACGACAACGGGGTTACGAATCTGGTGGAGATGGTTGAGAGGGGATAAGAGCAGATACCAGGTTATTATTAAGTGATGAAGCACGACGTGATGAGGTCCGAAGCGATGATGATGTTGACAGATGAGAATGGAAGTCTAGGTCAAGTGACGATGCGGAGGACAGTTCCACGGGACCTTTGAAGGTAAGTCGGCGGGGCAACAGAAGTCGAAGAAGCATCAGCCAATGTCACCCCGCATAAATCGAGGAGAGGGACTATCCACGGAAGACGTCGCATCAAAAAAAAGAAAAGGTCTGATTTGTATGCTAATTTTCCTTATCGAATCTAGAAAAGAAGACCGGGATACACTCATCCACTCTGACAATAAAAGAAGTAAGCAAGCATCACACAATGTCATTTGCTGACCCTCTGAATACTGCCTCTTCCTCCGAAACCATTCTGAGAGTGGCATTATATTGTATCCAACGAAATCAAGCAACAAAACAACAACTGCCATCTGTGTGCTTTCAGCATGGACGTGTTGAGGGGGAAGAATTAGATCTTTGAACTGAATGGCGTTGGAAAGAATGATGGGTCCTGGAGTACCACCTGCAAAGTGGAAACAAATTGAATAACATCAGCCTGTTTCGCACTGTAAAAGAAAGTCAACGGCATACAGGCAATCATCAGATTCCCCGCAGCTCGACTCCAGACCATGCCTGATGCTTCAAGCCCTTTTGATCGTAGTTCCCATGCAGAATGGTGCTAGCGGATCGGGACCGTGCTGTGTTCGATTCGCGATCGTCTGCCTCATTCCTGTACATGCATGCCACACGCTCAGGAGAACCAATCTGTCTCATCCGTAGGCAACCGGTCAACTTTCGAAATCCGACCAGTAGGAAGTACAGCCAATGCAGATAACTCCCTTCTCTGCTTCGAATAACAACCATAGAGGTCTACTCTGAGAAATTTGCAGAAGCCCGGTTCGCCAGTCGGACGATTGACGAACCTTTGCCTTCCCATCAAGGAACCCACAGTTTGCCTCGACCACGATTGTTACCACGAGAAGGTCCTCGGGATGCTCCGCGACGACCACGAGATGCGCCAGCCAGGCCACGAGCGGCCCCAGCTTGAGTGCTCAAGTCGACAGTAGGCTGTTGCTTGGTAGCGGGGCCTAAGGAACGACTGAAAGAATCGGGATCGATGGGCTGCGTGGGGATCTCTATGGTACTCTCCACAGGGGCTGCGACCACTTTGGAAGCAGTAGTTTTACGGTTGCTGGTGGCGCGAGAACCTCCACCTCTCGACGCACCTTTTCCACGGCCGCGAGGCACGAATACCAATTCATCCTCGTCACTTTCGTCCTCGTACGAGAGCAGCGATTTCGGTTCAGACACTAGGGTCTTTTCGACGTACTTGCAACGGTTCTTGTACTCTCGTTCTTCGTACTGGATCGAAGTTCGCAGTTGATGGATGTTCTTGACGGCAATACCGAACTTCTGAGCCCACAATCCCGTTACCCGATCATTTGTGACCAGAATGCAAGTCTTCGCTGCATTAGTGGCGTCGGGGCCACTGTGCAAACGCCATAGAATGGCACTGAGAAGAGGTCGAAGCACCACGGGAACTGCAGGAACCACGGATCCCGAGGCAGTGCGCCGATGTCCAGTCTCTTTCTTCGATGTGGCCGCATTTTGTACTCCACCGTTTGCAACCGTGCGCGGATTGGGATCTTCGGGGCTTGTGCGCGAACTTCTCGACGAAGGGGGTGAGGCCGGATTACTGTGCGTGCCCGCGGAGGGAATCGACGCGGCGTCTGACTCAGTCTTGAAGTTGAGCTTGTTGAGAAGCATCTGCGACAGATCATCCGGGGCCGCGCCATTTTTCTTGTGGCTGCTCTTCATCTTTTCGACTGGCCTCTCCAGCGGTGACTGCTCCTCCGCGGTATCTCCGTTAATCGCCTCGGGTTCCTCCTCAAACTCCGGCAGGAAGAACTTCTCCGCCTCTTCCCAATTTTCGTACTGCTCCATCGGACCTTGGAGAACGACGCTATCGGCAGGAATATTGTCCTTTCCGGAAGTGACTCGATCGAGAAAGCGGACAGCCTCACGGGAGTTGATGGCGATCTGGGATCCGGCTCTTTTCAACGCATGCAAGCGTTCAAGGGCTGGAAAGCAGCAGAAAACCTAATGAGCGAGCGGGACGGAGGACGGCGTCTCGGAAAGCAATTTTACTTACTGTAAAGAGGGACGATGAGGGTAATGGCGCCGCTGGTGGTCCATCTCTTGATTTCGCTGATGTTGGTGGTTAGGGCCGTTTCGTCCACGGCACAATGAAAGACCTTGCGTCCGGCCGACATGGCTCTCAATGAGTGAAGGGCGACCGGGCGCTTTGATAGGAAGAATGAACAATCAAGGCAGGACAGGGCAGTCCTACACTAGACAGCTAGCTTTGACGACCGCGACTAGGCCGCAGTGTGATGTTAGCGGGATGCTAGAACTCACGAAGGAGGTCTGGGTAGTTAGACGGAGGCGGAGGACTTTGGGAATGTGGGGGCATGGATTGCAATGGGTGCATGTAGCAGAGCCAGGCAACAAGGACAGACAAGATGTATGCAGGTTATACTTACAAGAGAACACTATTTCACAAGTATAACTCATCAGCAGCATCTTGTGTTCCGTTCCTGGATAATAATGAATGTGAACAGTAGTCCGCCCGAGAGAGGGAGTGTAACTGCATCCAACAGCGGCGGATCAACTCGAAGCCGCGGAGAATTAATCGATCAGAGCCTTTGACTAAGCACTACTAAGACTCTTAAGAGGGTGATCCAGAAGGAGGAAACTGCCATCCTTCCCCAACACTTTATGCCAACAATATCAAATGAAATAGGACTAATGCAGATTGTTATTCCCTGTATTACATTCTATCGCACAGCAGTGAAGCTCTAAGTCATTTCATGTATGCTAGCGCTGTAACGCAAGCCTGATATGTATTCAAGGCAAGAGAATGGAAGCCCTGTCATACACATCCTTAGAAATCGTATCATGGCCACAATAGAAAAGGGTTCTCTCAGGTCGCCTTCTTGATTAGACCCTCCGAGTCTTTGACCCGCTGTGCCCACTCCCTAATCGCGAAGAGTCAGCATCTGAACTCATAGCCGCAAGGCGAAGAAAAGAGAAAGCTACTTACGTCCAGCTCCCGTCGTAAACCCTCCGAAGACTGGGATCTCCATACTCTGCCACATTCAAAGCGGTTTCGATGATACTGGCCGTCACGCCGGTCCCGCATGTGCTGATGATGGATTTGGTATCATCGACCTCATGTTTTCCAAAGACCTTGCGCAGCTCTTCAGGAGAAAGATAGGTCTTTGCTTCAGGGTCAAGAAGTTCCTGAAATGGCAAGCTCTTGGAGCCAGGGATATGTCCCGAAGACAACCCCGGGCGCGGTTCGGGATCAGTACCCGCCCAGCGCCCGTAAGATCGAGCATCCAGGATCTCGACCTCCTTCGCTCCTTCTTTTCGGTGTTCCTTGGCGATTTCCTTCAACTCCAGGTACGGAATCACCAGCTTAGAGTCGAACTGCGGGAGTGGGTAGCTGGTCTTTTCCACAGGCGCTGGCTCCCCAGTCTCTGTCGGATAGCCATCACGAACCCACAACCTGTAGTTGTTGAGGACATGAACCCTGGGATGCCCAAATACTCGTAAGGTCCAGCCAACACGAGGGGCGCTGAAGATGCCGAGCTCTTCCGTATCGTAAACCACAACCTCATCGTCGCGCCGAATGCCAAGCTGGCTCATCGCCTCGGCAAACGTCTCCACGGTAGGAAGCATATGCGGGTAGGGAGATTCGGGGTCTTTGATGGCGTCCAGATCGAAGAATCGCGCCTGAGGAATGTGATGCTTTCTGAAAACATCAATGCCTGTGCGGCCCTCGGGGTCATTGGGCATAAACCAGGCGGCACATAGAGGGATTACACGCGGAGAAGTGGAGATCTTTGTGGTCGGATTCTTCTTCAAAGCTTCATGGAGTTCCCTGGGGGACACGAGGTAAGAAGAGAATGAGATCTGGCGACTCTGGGTCTGTTGCCGTAGCTGCTGAGAGATAGACATGGTAGGGCGCATCAGGCGAGTCGGTGAGGGAATGCTACGAAGAGTCGCAAACGCCATGCTCGCGACGAGTTTCTCACGGGAACTGATTGATGAGACTATTCACATACCGAATGGCGAATATCGTGGTCAGATTGGGTCAGTAAACCTCGACAATCTGGGTAAAGGGAAGTGTACGGATAGTGGGGGAAACATGGTCTTTTCCATCGTTATCTAGGCTATCGAGTCCTGTGCGGAGTCAGCCCATTGCTTCCCCACCATGTGAAAGAGGTAAACAACTCCGCGCTTATCGTCGCAACTCCGCTAACATACTTGCAAGCTGCCTCATCTTCTAACCAAGTTGAAACACAACCTTCGTACAACAAAGAAGACACACCAGGATGAAAGTTACTATCAAAGAATGGAATGCGGTCGCTACCTGGCGCTGGGATATGCCCGAGGATGACGTCTGTGGTATATGCCGCGTTCAATTTGATGGAACATGTCCAACCTGCAAATTTCCGGGAGACGACTGTTCACTTTGTGAGTTCGCTTCCTACTCGACTTTGGCGATGGGATGAAATGTTGACCTGTAACTCTACCTCCTTCAGTGCTCGGAAAATGCGGCCACTCTTTCCATATGGTGTGATTGTGGATCTTCTTGTCCTCATTCTATGAAGCTGCTAACTGGATCACTCCCCTTAACAGCATTGCCTTATGACTTGGATTCAACAAGAGTCTTCAAAAGGACTGTGTCCAATGTGCAGACAAAGTATTTACGCTCTTGCTCCTGTTCTTGATCTAACGCTAATGAGATGGCCAGAGTTTGAGTGGAAGCAAAATGATGAGTGACAATGATGATATTGTTGGCCTCTAAGCCTTCTGATTTTGTGGCAATCGGGTGTTAGGAGTTCTGATGTACATGATACCCTTTTTTTTATTTCCTTCGTCTCTTTCCTCATGAAAGCAAAAGCTGCTCTACCTTACTCATTTGATGATTTTCCAAGAGTGTGCTTTGCAAGTCACCTGACTTTATCGATAAGAAGTCGACAACCCCAGCCATGTGATGATATCAGTTGAGCCATTCCGTAGCTTGGGACAGATCCTCGTTGATCACGCCAAATCAAACCATCTCAATATCATCCCGAAGCCAACGATGTAGCCGCGCTGCTGGAGATGTCTGTACCAACACAAATCACATCCTCCCCTCAATACTCATCCTCTCCTCAGCACGCCTCCCGAGGATTCTCCGGTCCAAAAACACTATCACGACCACAGAGCTTTGATCGTCCTCCTACCGCGCAACGAGTCAGCCACCATCCGGAGCAACAGACCACATACGATGTAGCTGGCGAAACCTCATCTTTACATCCCGGAGATGACGACCGTCATGAGACAAGTTCCGCTTCGCAGCCTTCATTTCAACCCTTCTTCACGCTCATAGAGGATGCCAACACCTCCGAATATTACCACCCAACAGTCCACTACATCTTCTCCGACGATGACACAGACATTGTAACGGAAGCAGCTCTACGCGCCCTAGAAAGCGAGCAAGACAGCTCTCCTGATCCCTCAAAAAGCAAGGCAAAGTCAGCGAACAATCAACCCACGATGCATCAGCAGGAAGCAGCGGGAAACGAAACTGCCCGCCCGGAGGACGATGAACCCCCCAGTCCAAAGAAGGAACCCCTCCTGCCCCCTCCGACTCCCGGCGTTCGCGACAACTACATCATCCTCGACATGGAGCTCGCGAATCCTGATGATGCGAAACACCCGAGCTCAGATCCGGCTCGCGGTGCCAGCACGGCCGGTATGACGACCATATCCACCTCGCCTGCTGCTCAGGGAACACTCCTGCACCAGCAGTCCCCGCCTCCACTACATGGACTCCCCTCGTCCCAGCATCAATTCAATGTTATATCCGCACATAGCCTGACACCAGCATGGCAAGTGCTCAGCACGCAAGTCATACCAGCACCGACATTCGACAATAATGCTACCGGCGAGCAACCTTCAAATGGTGGCTTAATGCTCAAGATCCACGGTACGCCTGGTCTGCCTGTGACTATGTTTGGAAAGGACAGAGACAAGGAGAGAGGAAGTCAACGACTGGAAGATATGATGGAGCAGTTTGGGAAACGCCTGGGCGAGCTCAGGCAGGTTATCGAGGCTGGACAACAGGTTCAGTCTACTCAAGATGCCCTGTTTGAAGGAGAAGAAGTGCTAGGGAATGTAGATGCCAACGCTGTTTTGGATTCAAGCACTCGTGAACAGATGGATGGCCATAGCAATACCAAGAATGCAACAGGCGACGACAGCAATATCTGAAGGATGTCGCCCAACCATCTAATACAATAAAGAGACAGTGTGATGGCTTCGTATATCAGCTTCGACTGCTAGATGCGTTTATTCTGTCGTTGTGATCGACCTACTCTGCTACAAATGCCTTAAATGTGTATTTAGTATGGTCAAGTCCCGGATATGTAAAAGTTACGTCGCACCTAGAATAATTTTTCGCTTGTAATCGAAGCAACACCAATTCAAGTAAATCCATTCACTGAGGTCACAACCTGGAAAAGCTGGTAAGGCTCCCAAGGACCAGGAACTGCGCCCTTCTCTGGAAGAAACTTGACCATCTCCACCGAACCGGAACTGGCGGCGTAGTGTAATGGAGTGCCAAGCCCACTTCTTTTGTTCATGAGATATTCTGGAGATCCCTCGTCAAGCAACTTGTTGAGGTGTAAGCTGTTATATTCGGGGTCTTGATGGTAAATGAATTCTAGCACCTCGCGATTGTCGTTTCTGGTTCGCATCGCCGCGTAATGTAAGAGCTGCCCATGCTGGGCTTGACCCCCGCTTTCAAAAAGGATCTTGATCGCATCAAACGGTCCGTCCCGAACTGGGTAGGGTTCCCTATGTTCTCGTGTTGGGGTTTTGCACGAGATATGACGATTCTGGCGGCTTAAATAAAAGCAGCGGCACTCATATTAGGCAATCAGACTGGACTTCCGTCGCAGAAAGACAGTTCACTTATATACACTACCCTATACTTATTTACCCTAACCATAATCTGGCCTGCTTAGTGAGCAAAAAGTAGCGCCACTTTGGACTGAATCTGGAAATGCAAAGTTGGGAGGTTTTCGCAGAAACGCAGAAATGCTGTTCAGTAGATAGTCTAAGAAACCAATGAAGACAAAAACAGAGACAAAGCATGGGTAGCCAAAGTTCTGCACACAAACAAACAAATATTCAGCAGATACCGAAAAGCAGAAATCACTCCTCCCTAATCCGAAACGCCGTCACAACTCATGCAATCAGGGGTATCAGAGCATAAGAATGATGAGGTAACAGCTATTTGCACAGGCAGTTCATACTCCAAGAATCAGTCAGAGGGGTGGCTTCTGAGCCTTCGTCCGCGCGAAGTTCCGGGCAGAGGAACATTTTCTCTGCCTTCCATCATGCCGGCCATTTTTTTTGTCAGCATCTTCTGAGGAAGCTTGGTATCAGTTACACCAAAGCTGGAGCAGTGTCTTTTGGCGGGCGGATTGTCAGCTTCCTCTATCTCTGCCGGGTTGCCGGTGGACAGAGATACTCGAGCGTTTGCTGCTACGGAAGGTTTGGATTGAGTGGCCGTTGAATCATCAGTGTCACACGCTAGATGTTTTGCGACGACGTTTGCATCGACTTCCCTAAGACCAGTGTTGGAAGGAGTCGCAGTGGTGGATGGAGGTTGCTGGGCTTCTACCTCGTCCTCAACATCGTGGTAGACGAAGCCTTTTAATGGAGTTTCCCGCGGAGAATTGTCCGGAGAAGAAGCAGTAGCGGTCGGCTCCTCAGCGTTGCCAAATGGCAGGACCTCAAGTTCCTTGGAGGTTCTCATCCTTTTGACTAAAGCATCATGCGCCTCAGTTCGAGGCAGGGTTGTTGGGTACTCATAACGTCTCTTTTGAGGTGTGACGCCGGTTGGAATATACTCTTCAAGCGGGCGTTTTCGAATGTTAGTACAAAGATCCGACAAGGGTTTCTGTACTTCTTCGAACAGAGGCAGCGTCAATTCTTGAAGGCTGTCCTTTTGTTGATTCGCATCCTCCTGCAAACCAGTTATTCGGTCACGAGAACCGGCTAGGTGTTCTTCAAATGCTGCGTAGGATTGTTGGGCATTGGACGCCATGCTCCGTAAGCTAGCCATGTGGGCGTCGCAGTAATGGCCATTTTGTGTTCGTGCCTTCGCGACGAAATCATCCAGTGCACCCATCTGTCTACTCATATCCTTCATCTGGGCATCCACGATCCGGACGGTTTCCTCGTGAACTGACTCGGTTACTTTCTGGATGGATGCGTTGCGTTGATCAAATGCCTGCGAGATCAGTATTGGCACATCACTAGTTAAGCGGTTGGTTTCTTACCTCCCAATCACTCTGCATCTTGGTCTTGACCTCATCACGAGACGCAATGACATCTTTGGCAAATTGTTCCGACTTGAATACCCATTCATCGACCTGTCGATCATAATGCGCCGTTGCTTGTTCCAAGGAGTCACCCGAAGACATGATGTCAGTCCGCAAACATTCAACTCTGCCCTTCAAACGACCGAAATGTCGCTGGCGAGATTCTTCAATCAATGATTTGATTTGTGACATGAGGTTATCCCGTTCTGCTTCGGCGTGGGTATTTTCCTCTTCCAGGGTTTGGGCTAAATGCGCCGAGGCTCTGCGATTCGCCTCCACAGCCTGCTGATTAGCCTCCTGCAGTTGTAGGCGAAGCTGATTGATCTCAGCTTTTTGGGTATTGACGTGGGCTACCATGTCCTCAAACATGGACTTCAAATCTTTCCCGAGAGTGCTGTAAGATGCGTGGAGCTATATTGGTTAGCACATGGCACTTGGTCGCAACACGAGAATCCAGCTCACCTGGGCATGAAACTCTGAGAATTCGCCAATAACCTCCTTCGAGATACGGGCTGCTGCCGCCGACAGACCATTCAAACCCTCTCCGACCTTGCCCTTGACTTCCTCGCGTAGAACCTTAATCTCCTCGAGGACGTTGTTCATCTGATCATGAGAATCAGAAGTCTGAGCCTGTGCCTCTCGTAGCGCTTTGTCGAAAGAGAGATTGAAATTGCGAAGTTCCGATTCAGTTGACTGGAATTGGGTCAATTCGTCCTCGACGAAAGTATTGATCTTCGTGGCGATGTGCTCAACGAGCTTCGAGTGTCGGTCTAAGAATGTCCCAACCCTACTGTCGATCGTGCTTGTCACATCAGCAACTTCGTCAACAGAAGTCTCCCATGTCTCCCGATTTGTTGCCTCGAGGTCTGCTTTCCGTTGTAGCTTCGCATGCAACCCTTCCACATCACCAACTGTTTTGTCCAACGTCGATACCAAATCCGACCCAATATCGTGCAGCTGGGCTTCCGTATCCTGATGAGCTTTGCGTAACATTTCTTCCTCTTCGAGAGTGGCTCTTGTATCCTTCAAAACAATTTCGGTTTTCTCGAGAATATCATTGGTCTCATTCAAGGCAGAACGAGTATTTTCGTGATCCTTCTTGAGGTTGTTAAAGTTGCTGGTTAAAGTGAATAGCTCTTGAACCTTGTTCCGTAGGCTAGACTCCATGGACTCGATCTTGGCTCTTTGTTCCTCATTGACAATTCTTCGGGATTCGCTCTCCATCGTCATCTGCTCATAGGCATCGGGTGTCATGTAAACACCATTCCTATGTCTTGTGGCGATAAGTTCCCCTTTGAGCTTCTCAATTTCTAGTGTGAACTCTCGAAGAAGAGTCTTTTTCGCCATGTAGTTTATCTGAGGTTTATTGCGGATGTTCTTGGCCCGGAATGCGTAGTCCAGCGTGGATATGGTCTCTTCAAGATTGCTGCGAGAGGGAGAGATTGTGGCAATTATGCAGGTTTTTGTTCGCCCACCGAGGGAGTCTTGCAATAACCGCGTGAGTTTCGATTCTCTGCTTGCAGTTAGCTTCCTCTTCTCCAAAGCGGCATTGAAAAATTGTTGCGTACCTGTATGGGATGTGCGGGCTTTTATCCACCAGCGCATTGATCACCCGACCAAGAGTGAGCAGGCTTTTGTTGATCAAACCAGCCTCCGTAGCTCGCTTGTTCTCAGCGCCGCTGCGCTGGATATTTTCACTACCAGCAAGGTCGACCAAGTTGAGCTTTCCAGAACTGATGTAGTCATCCCCGTTCTCAGTCGTCCGTTTGGTGTAGACCGTAATTGTAAAGATCGTGTGGCTTCGAGAGCTTAGGTCGTTGCATTTGGTCGCAGCGACTTGGCGCTTATGACTGCCATGCTGAAGTAATTTAATACCAGCAGATGCCGAGTCAATCCACGTTTCTTCCATCCCTTGTACAAGTGTACTGCTGCTGGTGCCCTTTTTCTCATTCTCGAATATCTTCAACTTTGGGTTTTCCTCGGCTGAAAGCAAGTCGCGCAGCTCTTCGTTGTAAAGCTCAATGAAAGAACATTTTACCGTGCTTTCCGTATCCTCGAGCTTGTGGAACAACGAGTACAAAACGCGTGGTATAATCCCGGCATTGTCGGACAGTATCCCAAGAGTGTCTGTCATATCACCTGACATGGTGTATGTTTTGCCCGTTCCTGTCTGCCCGTATGCGAAGACAGTACAGTTGTAACCCGCGAGCATCTGATTCCATTAGCTGGTCAACTTCTTGCAATTTTTAAGTGATCTGTAGTAAGTAGCTGACCTCATTCACAATTGGAAGAACAACATCCTCATATACAGTGACCTGATCAGCCGCAGCCGAGAAGACCTTGTCGAAAGTGTAGGCTTTATTCGAAACTGCATTTGGGCCCATTGACAGTTCCACTGTCTTTCCCTTGGCTCCCTCGGTCGACACTACCACGCCGCTGTTTTCTTTGATCTCGCGATCGTTGCGTCCACGGCATCGTACAACCACGTGAATACTTGTGTCCTCATTAATCTCGCGCTCGTAATCTCTCTGGTTCCTTATCGCAGTGATGCTGGCCGGGTCGCTCGGTGACTTCAGACGAGACGCGCTCGGGGCGGAAGCTTTTCCCGGAATCGCGGAGGATGTTCTTCTCTCAGTCGCTGATGAGCCCAGGCGCCGTGTTGCTTGTCGCGTAGCCGTCCTCCTGGTGGGCAGGCCGGAGGCAGGCCGTTGGGGGCCGGCCATGGTGAAAGGGTCAACGAGCAAATTTCCCCGATAATTCAAAACAAGAAAAAAAAATGGCTATAGGAGATGAGTATGCTAACAATCTAGCAAGAAAAATTTGTTCCTGTTGGTTGCTGGATGTCGGGAAATTGTCTGTCTCTATAGAGATCAAAGTAAT